AGAGAGCAGCTCCCTTTCTCAGGAGCTTGGGCAGTGCCCCAGGGGGCCCAGGGTGTCTCTGCAGATGTGCAGAGCTGGAGGTGGTGGAAAAGGATAAAAGGGAGTTTCTCTGTTGTTTGGTTCAGGGATTTTATTTTTATTTTTGTTTTTGTTTTTATTTTTATTTTCATGAGACAGGGTCTTGCTCTGTCCCCCAGGCTGGAGTGCAGTGGCATGGTCATAGCTCACTGCAGCCTCATACTCCTGGGCTCAGGCAATCCTCCTGCCTCAGCCTTCCAACTAGCTGGGACTACAGGTGCACGCCAACATGCCTGGCTAACTTTTCATTTTTTTTTTTGTAGGGACGGGGTCTCGTTTTGTTGCCAAAGCTGGTCTCAAACTTCTGGCCTCAAGCAATCCACCTGCCTTGGACTCCCAAAGTGCTGAGATTACAGATGTGAGCCACCGTGCCTGGCCAGATTTTTCTTTTCTTCTTCTTTCTTTCTTTTTTGCTTTCTTGTCTTTTCAGAAGCAAGCCAGACCTAGCAGGCTGTTCCATGTTCTATTTTTGACTGTAGCCACAGCTGCTGTTCTCAGGACAGCAGCCCTTCCCACATGCCTGTGCCTGCTGCCTGCTGAGATGAGGAGGGGGGCATCTGGGAACTTGCGAGTCCGAGGCCAGTCCCCATTTCTGCCTCGCCCACCCCTGGCCCTTAGAGACCCTGAGGTGGGGGTGGGGAGATGCTTCTCTCCTTGCCCCCCCGCCCTCATGGGTCCTAGCCCTTCCCTGAGTGTGGGCTGAGGCCAGAGTCACCTTTTCTGTGGCTGGCTCTACCTTCCTGTCCCTGGGGTTAAACGCTGCCCATCCTGCCCTCCTCAAATGACAGAGGAGGTTTTCTAGAATTTCAAACCATTGCTCTTAGTCCCAAGCTAGGTTTGAACCTGGAATCTACCAGCCAAAAGTCCCTCCCTGCCTGAGGGCGGTACCCTCCATTGGGCACAGTTCAGACCCAAGTCAAAGATGTCCCATTCCTTGCCCCCCGGCCCTCATTTCCTTCATTTCCACCAGGCTGTGCCTTGTTGGAGTTTTTCCTCCCAGTGAGACTGCCCCATGGAGAGAAAGGAAAGGGCTGGCTCCCCCTCCCCAGGCTGGAGACCCCCCCCCACCCCAGGAAAGAGCAGCCAAAGTCCAGCGCTCTGCCCTCAGACGTTGCCTGAGAAGAAGTGGCTGCCACACCGAGGGGAAGGCCCTGAAGCATGAGACTGTGCTCCGCCATGGTGTCCGGGTGCCCTCCATACACAGGGGAGCGCAGCCTTCTCTGTATCTCCATGGCCCTGTCCCAGGCCGGCCCAGACGTGTTCCCCCCAGGCCTTGTCCAACATCCATGGCGGCAGATATCTTCCCTGGGCTGCCACCAGCCCCAGCCCCAGAGTGGCCCACAGTGGCACTAGAACGCAGGTGTCCCGCGACCTCGCGACCTCATCGTCCTGTGGGTGTTCTTTCCCGCCCTGTCCAAAAGCGCCCTCACTCTTCTTGGACCATGCCAGATTCTGCGTCTCTAGAAAGAGGCTCTGGCCAGCAGAGGCCTCCAAGCACAGAGCCCGGCCCCAGGACTCAGGCCCCAGATGGGGTGGGCTTCCTGCCCTTCCCTCTGGGCACGCCTGCTGGCACGCTGACCCACTTGAATGGACCAACCTGCTGTGTCCCCAAAGGATGCCTGCAGGAGAGAGCAGCACTCCGCACCACCTCACCAAGGATCGAACTCAGCCCCTGGGCCTCGGAATGACTGGACTCTCACGGGGTTCCCTCCTAGCTCTCCTGGTAAACTCCTGCCAGGCACTGGCAGCTCCTATAGCACTGAGCTCACACGAGACTGGGATGTGGGGGGCATCTCTCCCCAAGGAGGCCCTCGCTGAGCCTCCTGTGCCTGGTCCTATCCTGGGCCATGTCTTAGGTGAGACAGTTGCCCGAAACTAAGCCAGGCCGGGCTGTAGGAGCAGCAGCTTTGGGAGAGGGATTTCCCTGCAGACCTCAAGTCATCATGCAGTGGGTGCTGCCATGACAGAGGCTGTACCCCTGGGCCAGCGAGGCTGCTCACCCACCTCTTGTGCAAGGTGGGCTTCGTGCTGTGCCTGCAGGCAGAGCCGGAGCCCCCAGCAGAGGCAGGCTGGGACAGACCAGCATTTGGAAGATGTACATAGTTGTTTTTCTCTTTGTGGTTTCTTGTTGGGTTTGGTTTGCTTTTGACAGCTTCATTTTATTTTTGATGTCACTTTTTGGCCATGTAAACTATTTGTTGCAATTTTATGTTTTTATTTATGAATAAAGAATGCCATTTCTCACGCTCTCTAGAGCCACATGTGTCTGCCCTCTTCTCCCCTCGCTATGGTGTGGCAGCTCCCTGGCACTTCTTCCCTCGGAACAGGAAAGATGACGTCCCTTCCACCAGAGAGGGGGGTGAGGAAGGCGGCACAGGGCAGTGGGAAAGGGGGCCCCAGGGGTCAGATAGGCTTTAGCTGGCCCCTGCCCCCATCACCTACCCCAGGACCTTATCTGTGAAATGAGAGGAAAAGGGACTCAGGGACAGGTGCCCCTGTAGAGTCAGAGCATCCTTTCCAAAAGGTAGCCCCTCCCCACCCAAACCGCATGCCCCACTGGCTGCTCGCCTCACCAGCCAACTCCTGGGTCTACCGCATATGGCCTCTTGGCAAAAGACCAGCATAGCTATAGTTGCCACTGCCCCAGGGCCCCCTGGTGGGGCAGGTGCAGTCACCACCATGGCCATCTGTCCAGCCTTCTTGGTTCCAGCCTACCCGGTGCCCCCTTGACAACCTTCCCTACTATCCCTGGCTCACAGCCTAGGCCCAGAGGGCTGCTGCTCAGATGGCGACAGACAGAAGGGACATGTTACGAGGAAATTGAAATCGCAAGGCAGCCTAGGGGGCACATAAGGGGCAGATGACAAGTCCTCTGAGGTGGGGAAGGTTAGTGTAGACTGGGGAATCTGGGAAGAGGCAGGCAGGAGAAGACTTGGGGCAAGGGTAGGACACAAGAAGAGTGGGAGGGAGGAAAGGACTAGAAACATGTCTCTGGGGCAGGCGTTCACACAGCTGCCTGCCCACCTGTGATGGGAAAAGAGCAGCACTGGGGGTTGGAGAGGCAGGAGGACCAGGGTGCAGGGGCCCACGCAGAAGCTCAACTCACTGAGCCAGGACAGGAGCCAAATTCTGATTAACATAGAAGCTCCAGCTTTGGGACAAAGGGGTCATGTCCGACCTGGGGTAACTCTTTGCTGTCTTCCTCCTAGACGTGGCCCAGCCTGGTGACCTCACTAAAACATGCCTGTCACTAATGACACTCTTGGGTTACCCCTTCCTCTTTAATTGGAGCAGGCCCAGAGATTCATTTTAACCAATGGGATACAACAGGAGTGATGCTCTGCCAGTTTCAGCCTAAGCCTAGAAGGCCTAGCAGCTTCTACTTTGATTCTATTGTTTGAGGCAGGGTCTCACTCTGTCACCCAGGCTGGAGAGTGCAGTGGTGTGATCGTGGCCCACTGAGGCCTTGACTTCATGGGCTCAAGCAGTCCTCCTGCCTCAGCCCCCCAAGTAGCTAGAACCACAAGCTTGCACCACCATACCTGGCTAATTTTTTAATTTTTTTATGGAGATCGGGGGCAGGGGTCACTATGTTGCCCAGGCTGGTCTCAAACTCCTGGCCTCAAGCCATCCTCCCACCTTGGCCTCCCAAAGTGCTGGGATTACAGGCATGATCCCCTGTTCCTGGCCTGCTTCCGCTTTTATACTCTTGGGATGCCACATAAGAAGCCCACCCTCCTGTTTTGCTGGAAAGGCCACGTAGGGTAGGAGGGGTCACTTGTCCCAGAGTCTCAGCTAGGTCCCACATCTAGCTGAGCGTAGTTGAGTGACTACCCTGGACCCAGCCGACCCCATGGGGAACAGAGCCTTGTTCCCCACTCTGCCCTGCCACAGTCCTTACCCTCAGATCCCTAAGCACAGTAAATGACGGTGTGTTTAAACCGCTGACGTCAGGGATCTATTACACGGTTTAAAGATTCATCACCAGAATGCCCATCAGCACGCTCCTTTGCTTGCCACTTCACAAGCCTTTCTCCATCCAAAGGGCTCAGAATGACATAAAAAAGCACCCCTAGAGGCCGGGCGCGGTGGCTCACGCCTGTAATCCCAGCATTTTGGGAGGCCAAGGCGGGCGGATCACGAGGTCAGGAGATCGAGACCATCCTGGCCAACACAGTGAAACCCCGTCTCTACTAAAAAAAAAAAAAAAAAAAAAAACAAAAAAAAACTAGCTGGGCGAGGTGGCAGGCGCCTGTAGTCCCAGCTACTTGGGGGGCTGAGGCAGGAGAATGGCGTAAACCCGGGAGGCAGAGCTTGCAGTGAGCTGAGATCCGGCCACTGCACCCCAGCCTGGGCAACAGAGCGAGACTCCGTCTCAAAAAAAAAAAAAACAAAAAAACACACCCCTAGAAAACCACAGGGCTGGCCGGGTGTGGTGGCTCACACCTGTAATTCCAGCACTTTGGGAGGCTGAGGCGGGCAGATTACCTGAGGTCAGGAGTTCGAGACCAGCCTGGCCAACATGGCAAAACCCCATCTCTCCTAAAATTACAAAAATTAACTGGGCATGGTAGTGCAAGCCTGTAATCGCAGCTACTCAGGAGGCTGAGGCAGGAGAATCGCTTGAATCTGGGAGGCAGAGGTTGCAGTGAGCCGAGATTGTACCACTGCACTCTAGCCTGGGCAACAGAGCGAGACTCTGTCTCAAAAACAAACAAACAAACAAACAAACAAAAAAAGATAAAGAAAAGCAGAGAGCCGTGGGAAAGACCGTTCCAGCTGGAAGAGGAGCGGTGAGGAAAGGGGACAAAAGAGTGGAGAAACGAGGGCTTTTCCTGAGCCCATTTCCTCCAGAGCCCTGCCT